GAGAAAGAATTCTCAAGAGAGGAAACTTGAATGGCCAAGAAACACCTAAAGAAGTGCTCAACATTTTTAGTCATCGGGGAAATGCAAATCAAAACAACCCTGAGATTCTACCTCACACCAGTCAAAATGGCTAAGATAAAAAACTCAGGTGACAGCAGATGCTGGTGAGGCTGTGGAGAAAGAGGAATACTCCTCCATTGTTTGTGGGATTGTAAGATGGTACAACCACTATGGAAAGCAGTCTGGCAATTCCTCAGAAAATTGAACATAGTTTTACATGAGGACCCAGTTATACCACTCCTGGGCATATACCCAAAAGATGCTCCAACATATAACAAGGACACATGCTCCACTATATTTATAGCAGCCTTATTGATAATAGATAGAAACTGGAAAGAACCCAGATGTCCTTCAACAGAGGAATGGATACAGAAAATGTGGTACATTTACACAACGGAGTACTACTCAGCTATTAAACACAATGAGTTCATGAAATTCTTGGGCAAATGTACTGTAAAATAAAATGAACTGTAAAATATCATCCTGAGTGAGGTAATCCTATCACAAAAGAACACATATGGTATGCACTCACTAATAAGTGGATATTAGCCCAAAAGCTCACAATATCTAAGGTAGAACACATAGACCACGTGAAACTCAAGAAGAAGAAGGAAGACCAAAGTGTGGGTGCTTTGATCCTTCTTAGAAGGAGTATCAAAATACTCAACCAGAGCTTCCAGGGTCTAAACCTCCATCCTGGGCACACAAAGGGAGGGACTCATGGCTCCACCTGTATAGGTAGTTTAGGATGGCCTTGTCAGGCCTCAGTGGAAGAGGAGGGCCTTGGTCCCTGAAAGTTTTGGATTCTCTAGTGTTGGAAAATTCGAGAGCAGGGAGGCAGGAATGGGTGGGTGGTGAAGGCACACCCTCATAGAAGTTGGAAGAGGAGGGATGGGATAAGGGTTTTTGAGGGGAATGGGAGAGGGGATAACATTGAAATGTGAATAAATAAAATATACAATTAAATAAACAGATAATGGGTCTGGCAATTTTAGTCAAGTAATCAATAGTTTTTGTCAACAATTTATTACGGGGATTTTGTATAATCCTCAAGGACAAGGTATTGTGGAAGTGGCCGATGGAACTTTAAAAAGATTGGTGAGACAGTCTGTTGTGAAGACCAAGAATGATGCTGACCTGTGAGCTTGCTGAGTGCCCTAGCAAGGGTGATTGGGAGCTGTATTGGACATACGTTCCTGATCCACATTTGCTTAACTATATCACAGATGGGACAAGCTTCCTTGCCTCAAGTCTTTAGACTTTGTGGGATAGAGAATCAAAAACAGAAATTATAATGTCTTTTGTATTTTTCTTAAAGGTGACCAGGTATTAGGACTCAATCATGGACTGGTCTAGAAATAAATCCAATATTGGAAATAACAGTCTTCATTTGGAAGGCTAGATCTGGACATTGTCAGAGACATATTTGGAAGTTAGCTGTAGTTCACTATGATGTTATGATAGCAAGAGATAAAATTGGGACAGGATCTGGATTTCAAACAAGTGTGAGTGCATGTTTTAAAGCTCTTTTAATTGTCAAGCTAAAATTGGTTTTTTCTCTTCTACAATATTTATTGTAAGTTGCATTGACTGTGTACTTTCTAATTCTGTTAATGTGTTGAAACCTGGCATGTCTGTTACAGGGGTCTATCAACCAGCTTTTATCTTACTGCTCTGAGTATTAGAAAACCTTGATTTCTCTTAAAAAAAAAAAAGCTTGAAAGTGTTGGAAGAAGGTAGTTAGGATTTAAGCAGAAGCAAGAGGGTAGTGGGCTTGATTATTGCTGGTATAATGCTTTAATTTCATTAATTGCTAGCATCACTGCTTCTGCAGTAGCATTGACACAAGGAGTTAAGAAAACTATTTTTGTTAATCATCTAGCAAAAATGTTACTAATGTATTAAGTATACAAATGACTTATAAAGGTATCTGGAACAACAGATGATGCTCTATAACCTATTCAAATTATCTGAAGGAGGTTGAGAGTTCAAGAGTTAGGAGTCACCCAAAGAGTCATGACAAATATCATTGGAGTAGTGTTACTTCTAAAATTTACAATGAATGTTGCTATAATTAGGAAAAAAAGTTTAAAAACACCTGTAGGATATTTGGCATAATCCTAACACCTCTCTGGGTATGTTAACTTTGCATCATGAGATTATGAATTTAAAAGATGCTGCTCTGTTGAGCTTTGATGCTGCAGATAATGCCAATAAAATTATCCATGAGCTGAGGTCAGTATTTCCATTTTGGTCAAACCTCAGAAATGACATATATAGCTTGATCAGACTAGCCTTCCTTGTCCTGGGAATACTTTTATTCCTGCCCATCGTCGTAAAGCTTGTCTCTAACTACATCAACAAGCTGGCAGCCAAAGTACATGACTTGAAACTGATAATGGACTCCCAGACAGAATTATTAATATAACAGGTTGGCAAGCCAAGGACAGGTAAGATTCTGCAGAGAGCCTTACCAACCTAAGACACAGTGAGGGCTTATGATAATGCATATTTCACGACAGGTAAAGTAGACTTTCTTGTCAGAATGACCTAAGATAGGCTCAGTCTGGTTTATGCAATAAAAAGGGGGAGATGTGGAGAGCTTTGGGGGCTGCCTGGCAGGAATCTGACATAGGCCAAGGACAAAGAAGTGGATTGCAGGCAGGAATCTGACATTGGACTGGAACAAAAGTAATTTCAGGCAGAAATCTAAATCCTAGGCTAGAACAAAGAAGAAATTTCAGGCATGAATCTAAATATTAGCCTAGAACAAAGAAGTAATTCTAGACAGAAATCTAAATCTTAAGCTAGAACAAAGAAATAAGCTTCAGGCATGAAAATGACTTTGGGCTAGGACAAGGAAGTAGGCTCAGATACTCTGATCATCTTGATAAGCCTTTAGAAATAGTGATCACAGGAGTGATCATGGGACTCAGTTTATTGTCATGCATGTTCTTTGATTATCTGGGCTTATTGTCTTCCGTGTTCCTAGACTATTTGGAGCTATTGTGTCGCTAGTTCCTCAACCTAGAACTCATCTTAATACTTGCATGTAATTTAAAGGTATAAAGGCAAAAAAGGAGGAGGGATGAGATAGAGTTTTAATGGGTAGGGGGAATGGGGAAGTGAGATGGCATCTGAAATGTAAATAAATAAAATATTGAGTAACCCCTCGCCCCCCCCCAAAAAAAAACAAGAAAAGAAAATATCCTCCTGATTGAGGTAATCCAATCCCAAAAGAACACACATGGAATGCACTAACTGGTAAGTGGACATTAGGCGAAAAGCTCAGAATATTTCCATCTCGACATGAGGATCCAGTCTATGTGCAGTCACCAAGCACAGACACTGTTGTGGATGCTAGGAAGTGCATGCTGACAGGAGCCTGATATAGCTGTCTCCTGAGAGGCTCTGCCAGAGCCTGAAAGATGCTCTCAGACAACCACTGGACTGATCTCGAGGTCCCCAATGGAGAATTTAGAGAGAGGACTGAAGGAGCCGAAGGAGTGTTTGGCCCCATGGGGAGAGTGACAATACCAACCAACCAGATCCCCCAGGACCTAAACTGCCACTCTGGGAACACACATGGAGAGAACCATGGTCCCAGCCATATATGTAGGGGAGGATGGCTTTGTCAGGCATTGGTGGGAGAGGAGGTCCATGAAAGTTGGATACCCCAGTTTGAGGGAATGTGAGTGCAGGGAGGCAGAAGTGGGTGAGTGGGTAGGGTCACACTCTCACAGAAGCAGGAGGAGTGGGGTGGGATATAGGGTTTCAGGGGTGGGGAATGGGGAAAGGGGATAACATCTGAATCATAAATAAATGAAAATATCAAATTAAACTAAAAAGAAATGCTGAAAAATGAAGTTTTTAATTTGTGTACTTATAGCCAATATATAGCTCATAGTTTACAATTACTTGAAACTTTTCCTTTTTTAGGTACTGCTAATTCTCAAATTTTGCAATTACTTAAGCAAATACAATTTTATTTAAGAGAACATACTGTTCCTAAACTTTACAGGACATTTAAGAGATCATACTGGATTGCTTGGAGCCTTTAGGATTATTCCATAGCAGATTTGTATAACAGGCAGATTCTAGGCCTTGCACAGGAACTCTGCCCAAGGAATCACACTGACAATCAAAGAAAGCTCTTCTATATATTTTTTTGATGCAAACTGTTTATGTGCTCCCATAGATAAAAACACATACATTCACTAAGCACAAAGCTTATAGTCACAAATAACTTTCTGCTTAGATAAAATTTCAATTAATAACCACAAGGAGAATTTAATTATTGAATACAACTACTAATCTAATATATCATCAATAAAATCTAAGCAATCACATCACAAAACAAAGAGTTATATTCAGCGAACATGCATTAATAATCCATACAACTTAACATTACCCAAGAAAAGGAGTTGGATATAAAAGTTTGTATAATTTTTGGTTTTCAAATCTTATGGCACAGATTACCAAAAACATTGTAAAAACAGATTTCAAATATTTTCAGTAAAATGGTAAAATGGTGGCCAGCTGCCACCATTGTTCACTTCAAGGTCTCTGCCCAAGGAATCACACTGACTGACAATCAAAGAAAGCTCTTCTATATTTTTTTTGGGGGGGGGGCTTCTGCGGCTTTTATTTTTGCATGTAAACCTCTGGGGGGGTCTTGATGGTGGGCACCCTAGAGATTACACTGGAGGTCCAAGGGCTCCAGACGCTAGCTGGGAAGTCAGGTGACAGAAGCAATGATTCAGAGCAATCACATGATTACAAGGCTGGGGTCTCCGCAGGGTTCCTGGTGGTCAGGTGTGGACGTCTAAGGAAGCAGTGACATGAGAGGGGCAAGCACTGGGCTGGCCTTGAGCCACCTGGATGACATCAGGGACAGAGGAGCTAAGCAGCTGCTGACTCCGGGGTCTCCAGTCCGTGCTTTACTTGGCCAGGGAGTTCCTGAAGGACCTGCCAGCAAACTTGGCTTTGCTGCCCAGCTCTTCCTTGATTCTAAGGATCTGACTGTACTTGGCCAGGCGCTCAGAACGGCAAGGGGCACCAGTCTTGATCTGCCCAGTGCAGAGCCCCACCACCAGGTCAGTGATGAAAGTGTTCTCAATCTCCCCAGATCGGTGGGACACCATGACGCCCCAGCCATTGGGCTGGGCCAGCTTACACGCCTGCAGAGACTCAGTCACTGAGCCGATCTGGTTCACTTTGAGGAGGAGGCAGTTGCAAGACTTCTCGCCTGCAGCCTTGGCAGTCCGCTTAGGGTTGGTCACTGTGAGGTCATCGCCCACCACCTGGATGCCTGCACTAGCTTTGAACTTCTGCCAAGCATCCCAGTCGTCCTGGTCAAAGGAGTCTTCAATGGACACCACTGGGCAGTCCTATATTCTGAGCTTTTTGCCTACTATCCACTTACCAGTTAGTGCATACCATGTGTGTTCTTTTGTGCTTGTGATTCTTGTTGAGCCAAGGAATCTCATTCTTTATATCATCAAAATAGTAATAGCTTGAGACAACAATTTGGTGTTTGTAGAGAATGTGCATGTCAAATTGTAAAGGCTTATCCTGAATGCCCACAATTTCTACCTGTACCATAAAATGGTGTTAATCCTCCAGGACTCACACCTAATCAATTATAGCAAATGGATATTACTCATATTTCTGATTTCAGACAATTAAAACATGTACGTGTGGCTATTGACACCCTCTCAGTCTTTCAAGTTGCAATTGCTTTAACAGGAGAAGCAATGAAAATGTAATTAGTTATTGCCTACATTGTTTTCCTATGCTGGCTGTTCCAAAACAAATTAAAACAGATAATGAAAATGGCTATTGCAGTTGATCACTTGAGACTTTTTGTCAACAATTTAATGTTACCCATGTTTCTGGGATTCCTTATAATCCTCAAGGACAAGTGGAAAGGGCCCATAGAGCTTTAAAACAATATTTCATAAAGTAAAAAGGGGGACAGAATATCCCATACACCACAAATTTATTTAAATCACCCTCTTTTTGTTTTAAATTTTTTAAAAATTTGGATGCCAAGGAACTTTCTGCTGAATGTCTATGGCATCCTACAGCTAGACATACTTATGTCTAGGTGAAAAGGAAGGATCCACTTAATGACATAAGGCATGATCCCAATCAGGTATCAAATATGGGGAAGAGGGCATGTTTGTGTTATTTCAGCAGGATGCTGAAGAAGCATGGTGGCTGCCAGAATGATTGGTGAGACATACTGATGCTGGGATAAAGAATGATGCTGACCTGTGAGCTTGCTGAGTGCCCTGACAAGGTGACTGGGAAGCTGTACTGGACATATGTTCCTGACCCACCTTTGCTTGCCTATATCCCAGATGGGATAAGCTGCCTTGCCTCAAGCTTTTAGACCTTGTGGAACAGAAACTCAAAAAGAAAAGTTATAATGACTCTTGTATTCGGACTCAATCATGGACTGGTCAAGAAATCAATCCAATATTGGAAATAACAGTCTTCATTTGGAAGGCTGGTTCTGCACATTTTCAAAGACATATTTGGAAATTAGCTGTAGTTCTCTATGATGTTATATTAGCAAGTGATAAATTTGAAACAGGATCTGGATTTCAAACAAGTGTTAGTGCATGTGTTAAGGCTCTTTTAATTATCAAGTTAAAATCACTTTTGTTTCTTCTACAATATTTAATGAAAGTTGTATTGATTGTACACATTATAATTGTGTTAGTGTGTTGAAACCTGGCATGTCTGTTACAGTGGTCTATCAACCAGCTTTGGTTTTATTGCCCTGAGTATTACAGGACCTTGATTTTCTGAAAAAGTTTGCAAATTCTGGAAGAAGTGAGTCAAGCTTTAAGCATAAGCAAGAGGGTAAAGCATAAGCAATGGGCTTGATTATTGCTGGTATAGCAGCTTTAATTACATTAAATTGCTAGCACCACTGCTTCTGCAATTGCTTTGACACAAGAAGTTAAGATAGCTGCTTTTGTTAATCATTTAGCAAAAAAAGTGTATTGTGTATACAAGAGGATTTAGATAGTCATTTGAAAAACCAGATTGATGCTCTTTATCCTACTCAAATTATTGGAAGAGGTTCAGAGTTTAAGAGAAAGGAGCCATCTCTAGTGTCAGGCCAAATACCAATGGAGTTGTGTTATTTCTACAATTTACAATGATAGTCATTATACTTAGGAAAAAGTTTAAAGACACTTGCATGGTATTTAGCATAATTCTAACACTTCTCTGGATTTTTAAACTTTCCATAGTGAGATTATGAATTTAAAGAATGCTTCTCTGTTGAGCTTTGATGCTTCAGATAATGCTGATAAAATTATCCATGGCCTGAGGTCAGTATTTCCATTTTGATAAATCTTCAATAATGGCATATATAGCTTGATCATGCTAGCCATTTTTCTCCTGGGAATACCTTTATTCCTGCCCATCATGTTAAAAAGTTTGTCTTTAGTATAATCAACATGTTGTCAGCCAAAGTACATGGCTTGAAACTGATAATGGACCCCCAGAAATAGTTATTAATTTAACAGACTGGCAAGCCAAGATGGGTAAGATTCTGCATAGAGGCTTATCAACCTAAAACATAAGTGCATTGCTTGTGATAATGCATATTATAGGATGGGTAAGGAAGACATTCTTGTCAGAATGACCTAAGACAGGCTCAGTCTTGGTTATGAAATAAAAAAGAGGGAGTGGCAGAGACCTTTTAGGGTTGCTTGGCAGGAATCTGACATTGGCCAAAGACAAGGAAATGGGCTTTAGGCAGGAATCTTACATTAGGCTAGAACAATGAAGTAATTTCAGGCAGGAATCTAAATCTTAGGCTAGAACAAAGAGATAATTTCTGTCAGGAATCTAAATGTTAGGCTTGAACAAAGAAATAGGCTTCAGGCATGAAAATGACTTTGGTCTAGAACAGGGAAGTAGGCTAATATATTTTGGGGAAGCAGCCTCATAGAAGCAGAGGGAGGTGAGATAGGATAAGGGGTTTATGGAGAGAAAACATGGAAATTAGATAACAGTTGAAATCTAAATAAATAAAATGTCCAAAATAAATAAATAAATAAACTCCTCATAATACAAAGCAATACTGCCCCAACCTCCCGATTTTTCTGTCTAGGACTGCTGAAATATGCATTTGAACACAGCTTGTAGTGTTTGGGGGTAGTTTTTACATTTGTATGAGTTTTGTTTCCTTTTGTAGTAATCATTTATTTTACGTAATTGAGTGGTGTGTACATGTATGTGCGTACACGCACATGCATGTGTGCGAGTGTTTGCACACACTCACACATGCACACTTACTAGGCACATAAAATGAATATAAACTACTATTTTCACACTTCCAAGAGTAGAACCAGAACATGAAAAAGAAGTATTTTACATAATAATATAAAGTTTTTTACTATGTAAATTTATTTTCTTTGTCATATTAAAGTCAAATATGACTTTAAGGCCATATAAAGTTAATTTATGAATTCAATTTTTTTTCTATCCATGTGAACTCCAGTTGAAACACTCACTTTTTGCCAGTAACTTCAGTATTCATTGTTTACTCTACAATTACCAGGGAACCTTTGTGAGAAATAAAAACCTAATCTCCAATAGAGAAGTCATTTGTATGCTAAAGTATGCATGAATATAATGAGGAGGTAAAATGTAAAATAAAATCACAATGAGGAATTAATGGTATAGGTCAGTGCACACCATATGCTTCTTATATACATGTCCCTGGGTTCAATTCTCAAAGTGAATGTAATAAAGAGACAAGGAGAGGAGGAAGGGAGATAGAAGAAAAGAAGGAACAAAAGGAGAGAAATAATGGAAGGGAGAGTCTGGAATGAAAGATGAAGACAGAGATTCTAAAACTTAAAAAGTGGGGGGAGAAAGTTCATGAGTTCAAGGTCAGACAGTGCTATTCACTACTCTGTTTCAAAAAGAAAGAAAAATGAAAGACTGATGAAAGAACACGTAAAAAAAACTGGTTCAATTTTTTAAATATATTTTTACTTACTCTTTGAGATTTTTACGTAAGTATATTATATATTTTTATTATATCCATGTCCTACTCCTCTCTCACACTCCCCCATATCCCATTATTGTGTTCCCCTCCCAAATATGTGTCTCCTGTACTTTTTAAAATAACTAACTGAGCCTAATTAGTGCTGGTCATACGTACATGTATGGAGGACTATGCATGGGAACAGGGCTCAAGCTCTCAAGTAGGAATAACCATCCCTCTACTTGCAGCCATTAAATACTGAGAGCTCCCTAGTTAGAAGAGGGACTTTATGAGCTTTTTCTAAGTATACACTGAACTCTTGACTGGCTTCATCTCTGGGTTCATGATTCTAATAGTCATGTTATGTTCAAGAGACAAAGTTTCCTAGTGTTCTATACAGCCTATATTCTTTTTTTATTACTTTCTTCCATAATGGTTTTTGAGCCTGGGAAGGTACTTCACATTTTCTGAGTCTATAAAATTAAATATATCCTATATCTACCTCATTTGCCAAAGGGAATTATTACTCCCTAAGGATTATAACTTAAGAATATTCCTTTAAAAGGCCATCCAGAGATGACCCCTCCTAGGGATCCATCTCATCTGCAGACACCAAACCTTAACACTATTGCTAATGTCAAGAAGCACTTCCTGACAGGAGCCTAGTATACCTGTCCCAAGAGAAGGTCTGCCAGAACCCAACCAATACAGATGCAGATACTCACAGGAAACCATTAAACTGAGCCCAGGATCCTCAATGGAAGAATTAGGGGAAGGACTGAAGGAGCTGAAGGGAATTGCAATCCCATAGGGAGAACAATATCAACTAACCAGATCACCCAGAGCTTCCAGGGACTAAACCACCAACAAAAGAGTATACATGGAGGGACCCATAGCTCCAGCTACATATGTAGCAGACAATTGCCTTCTCTGGCATCAGTGGGAGGAGAGACCCTTGGTCTTGTGGATAATTGATATCCCAGTGTAAGGGGATGATAGAGCAGTGAGGCAAGAGGGAGTGGGTAGGTGGGTGGAGGAGCACCTTCCTAGAGGCAAAGAGGAGAATGGGTGGGGGGATTTGCATAGGGGAAACTGATATGGGGAACAACATTTAAAGTTTAAATAAATAAAATAACCAACAATAATAGACTATTTCTTTAGTGAAGAAAACAATCTCCACATATACTTTTCAAAATACATAATTCTTTCTGAAATCTCAGTCATTTTCTAAATGAGACATCAATTAACAGAACTTTCTGATCCAAGGATGGGAATATGTGGAGTAAGTAGGAAATGACAATGGATTACAGATAAAAAAAAAAGGAATTCAAGGGGAGAACTTGAATTGTGTGAGAAAGGTCATTATCTTAGGGTCTTACTGATGTGAAGAGACACCATGACCAAGGGAATTGGGGCTGGCTTATAGGTTCAGAGGTTCAGTCCATTATCACCAAGGTGGGAACATGATAGCATCCAGGTAGACATGGTTCAGGAGAAGCTAGCTGAGAGTTCTACATCTTCATCTGAAGGCTGTTAGCAGAATACTGGCTTCTAGGCAGCTATGAAAAGGGTTTTAAACCCACAGCCACAGTGACACACCTACTCTCACATGGCCACACCTACTCCAATAGGGCCACAACTTCTAAAAGTGCCACTCACTGGGCCAAGCATACACAAGCCATCATAATGATATACAAGACAGAGCAATTGTAGGAGACAAATGACTAAATTCTTGTTATTCAATCTAATCAATGGACTACAGTGGATAATCCAATACATTAACTACTACTAAAACAGACACTTTATGAAGGTGAATCCATTGCTCTGCTTCTAGTTACACTCCCTAACAGGATTTTCAGAGCTGTCTTTAT